TTTAAAATATGTTACAAAGGAAAGAGTAAAAGTTGAAATGTGCTGACAACTATAGTCAGCTCATTGACAGAATACTGCATTTTGATGAAAATGTGTACAGGGTGTCAGAAATACTGGTTCTAGAATATTCTTGTGTTTTCTCAGTCTTTTATCAATGGGCAATCTATCATGGATCAGCAGTTATAAAATATGTGTAAGCAAGGTTAGGTCTCATGATCTCATCAATGTGCCACTTTATAGAAAAAGGATGTGCATAATTTACTGTAACTCATAGCACAAAAATAAGTGAGGCTAGAGAACTCCCAAAAAATATTAAAGCCATTAATACATTAGAAGTTTTCCCACTATTGTCCGCTAAATAGTCTGTAATATTTCCACAATCCACAGTTGCACAAATAATGCTGCCATAGACATTATACATACAATCTCTGTATCGCTCTCTCTTTTTTTGTTTGCCACTGGCACAGTGACAAATGAACATTTCTTGGGAACAAAGATATCAGGTGGGATATAAAACATTGCCGGATTATTATTTTTTTCCTGATGCACCAGGGCTGCTTGCTGACAGCATCTTTATGTAGGGCAAATTTTAGTAACCCAATTTGATTTTATTTCCCTGTGTTACAATAGCTCTAGAGCAATGGTCCCCAAACTGTGGTCTTTTACTTGCCTTTAATCAGACCTTTGTGCACTATTCCTTCCTGGGACACAAAATATGGAGTAGTTATTCCCACTGACACCATTATTAGGGCACCATTTCTCCCACTGACAACAACAATGGGGTATTATTCCTCCCACTGACACCAACAGTAGGGCACTCATTTTATTACTGACCCTAACACTATGGCACTATTTCTCCCATTGAGACCAATAGACACTATTCTCCCCACTGACACCAACAGTGGGGCACTATTCTTGCCAATGATACCAACAATGGGGCACAACTCCTCCCACTGATTCCAACAATGAGGCATTACTCCTTCTACTAGTTCTCTTTTCCAATTAGATATACTTCCCATTACTTACATAAGTGCAAAAAGTAAGTAATGACAGATGTTCTAACCCTTCTCTAAACTTTCCAAAATTAAAAAGCGTTTGGTTAGAGATGGAGTTTATGTCTTACAACAATTTACGTTTTTGTATTGTGCACATTTGAAAGACTGGCAATAATGATTCTGTGTGTGTTCCATATTCCAGATGACAGTGTAGGGAACGTGGGAAACTAAAATCTAATATAAAATAAATAAGCCTATGCCAAGTTAAGCAGTAGAGTAATCTATCATACTGGCAAGGTTTGTTTCAAAGCATATACTTTTGAGTTTCCCTAATTGTAATCTGGTTTCTATGCTGGAGAGTTATTTATTTTTATTTTCTATAGAAGTGGCAATGAAACCACTCGCTAAATTTTGTATTAGCTTTTTTCCTGCAGGGAAAATGTTTGATCAAATTTCTTGTGCTCTTTATTTTGTCCAACCTGTTATGTTCGGGTCACCTGACTTCTTTTCTATTTTGTTTTTGAATGAACAGGACTCAGATAGGGATCAGAGTTAAAGATTTTGATTATTATCAATAATAATTCATGCTTATGTTATTTTGTTTAAATGTATTTATTTTCTAGGCAATACACACATAATGCATTCAGCAAGACAGAATCCACATAAACCGCAAACCTCATTCATAGTAAAAATACAGCAGATCTGGTAATGGATACATTTATGGCCTTACAATCAATATGAGTTTATACTCAAATAATATATACCGTATTTTCCGACGTATAAGGTGACTGGGTGTATAAGACGACCCCCTAATTTTCCAGTTAAAACATAGGTTTTGGGCTATACTCGCCGTATAAGACTACCCCCCTTCCGAGGCAACACCATTTAAAAACATCAGATTTTTTAATTGAAATGGTTATGACTTACCGGTACCTTAAAATCCTTCAAAATCCTCATGTTCATCCTCTGACATCATAAGTTCATGAATGACATCTTGTGATACATTTGTAAGACAGTCATCATATGGATCAAATTCCAAATCAGATGGTTACCGCTGGATGTGCGGTAATACGGTAGCTTCGGCTACATACAGTATACAGTATATATACAGCCTGCTGGATGTGCGGTAATACAGTAGCTTCGGCTACATACAGTATACAGTATACATACAGCCCGCTGTGATGTGCAGTAATGTACATACAGTATACCGCGCTGAGCCAAGCTGGCTCAAAAGAAATGTCCCTATGACAGATTAATCTGTTAGCCCGCTGGATGTGTGGTATATACAGTATACTGAGCCAAGCTGTTTCAAAACGTACCGGTATGTCCCTACGGTAATCAGACCGCTGGATTTGTGTATGTACAGTACCTGAGGCTACATACAGTATACGCTGGGCCAATCACGGCAAGCGATGTATTCTACTAATGAATACAAAGCCTGCTCAGATTGGCTGAGGTTGTGACATCATCAGCCCTCCTCTCTGACTCAGCCAATCTGAGCAGGCTTTGTATTCATTAGTAGAATACATCACTCACCGTGATTGGCCCAGTGTATACTGTATGTAGCCGCAGCTACTGTACATACACGCATCCAGCGGGCTGATTACAGTAGGGACGTACTGGTACGTTTTGAAACCGCTTGGCTCAGCGCAGTATACTGTATATAACGCACATCCAGCGGGCTGACAAGTTAGGGCTCGTTCACACTTGGCTGTTTTGCCAACGCTTGCCAAACGCCCCTATAGCGTTTGGCAAGCATTGGTCCGGCGTTTGCGGAGCGTTTTTTTAACGCTCGGCAAACGCTCCGCAAACGCTCGCAAACGCCGCATGCGCGGTTTAGCGGCAGTTGCTAGGCATTTGCCGAGCGTTAATAACGCCCCACAAATGCCTATAATGCAGTTTGAGTGATGTTACCGCTCCGCAAATGCCCCGCAACCGCATCGCAACCGCACCGCAAACGCCGGCCGGGCGTTTGCGGAGCGGCACCATAGACGAGAATAGGAGGCTTCAACGCCTCCTGACTCGTCCAGAGGCGTCCGTTTTGCCGCGACGCGACGCAAACGCTCCCGTTAGAACAGCACCATGTGCTGTAATGTGCAGAATTGGCAGAGGCGTTTGGGAAGCCGTAAAAACGCTTCCCAAACGCCTCTCTGCTGCCTGCACACAGCGCTAGTGTGAACGTAGCCTTAATCTGTTATAGGAACATTTGTTTTGAGCCAGCTTGGCTCAGCACGGTATACTGTATGTATAGTATTACCACACATCCATCTTGACCCAAACAAACTCAAGGTTCACATTTTATACCCCACGTATAAGACGACCCCCAATTTTTGGGGTATATTTTTAAGTATAAAAAGTAGTCTTATACGCCAGAAAATACTGTATTTCAATGAAGCGTGCACACAGGGTTTTTCATCAATAATTGAGTCATGTTCAGTTTGGCATTTTAAGCTTGCATTTTTTCAGCTAATGCACCCTGGGTTTATATAAGCTGCATCATTTAAAGAAACTCCAGTTTAGAAAACCATTATATAACTTGTATCATTGCTACAGAAATAGGTTGTAATGTAGTAGTAATTACCATTCCGTTTCAGTCTGCATCACAATAAAAGTTTGTAGACAAGATTTCCAAGTATCTTTAGACATTACTTCCATTTTGTACTCAGGCTTGGTTCACACTGCCGCAACTTGGGTTCCAACTTGTAAGACCTCAAGTCGCGTGCTACTAGTATTAGTGTAGGTACATTTTTATGGTATGACTCATAGAAACTGTAATCAGGTCAGGCTACTGCAAGTCAGGCTGGGTGAATCAGCAGGGTGGGACTCTATTGCCTCCACCGGGTTCTGGAGGACCATGGAAGCTTCCAGAAGCCAGTGGGCAGGAGAGGTGGAGACCCAAATCTGAATGTTTATGGGAGTCTGACCAATCCCAAGTTTGGAGGTCCTGGTAGTGTGGTAAGGCTAACCCATAAATATGAGAGAGCCATGCTGGCAGGGGAGTCGGGTGAAAGATGGAATGCTGAGGACGCTGTCGGTGGCCTGGGAGGGGTCCCCTAGGTCTGGGGGGGGGGGATTTGCTTCCAGGCTGAGTTCGGGCTGGCTCAGTAAAATCTATTCAGCATCGTGATTTGAACAGGATCATTGCTAGCAGTGGGAGCAAAGAGGACAGAGTGAGTACATCAGCACACCCAGGGATTAACAAGGGGAGATCCTGCCTATGTAGCAAACTTTCAAAGGATGGTGCTGTGCTTAACCCTTCATTCTTGTCCTGGGAGATCTTCAGAGCAGCTGCAGGCTGTGTAGCTGGGAGCAGTTCTACTTAAGTTTCTTAAGTTTCTTTCTTTAACTACTTGCCCTCCAGAGGATATACCCCCCTTCCTAATTTTTTGTGATACGGCGCTGCGTTATTTTAACTGACAATTGCACGGTCATGCAATGCTGTACATAAATGAAATTTATGTCCTTTTTTTTTTCCCACAAATAGAGATTTCTTTTGGTGGTATTTGATCACCTCTGCATTTTTTAATTTTTGCACTATAAACAAAAAAACAGACAGACAATTTTGAAAAAAAATTATATTTTTTTTTACTTTTTCTATAAAACATATCCAGTAAAAAAAAATGAAATTTCATCATAATGCTACATGTCTTTGCTAAACAAAATCCCAATACGTGTAAATAAATTGGTTTACATGAAAGTTATAGCGTCTACAAATGGCAGTATATACTGTATACTGGAATTGTGTTTTTTTTTTTTAATACTAGTAATGGCGGCGATCAGCAACTTATAGTGGGACTGCGGCAGACATTCTGACACTGATGGCGAACTAACTAACTGCCACTGACATCCCCAGTGACACTAATTCAATGATCAGTGCTAATAAAAAGCACTGACACTGTGGTAATGACACTGGGCAGAAGGGGTTAACATCTGTGGCGATCAAAGCATGTGCTGTTTTACTGTGTAAGCATGCTGCATTGTATTGCTCTGCTGTGCAGAGGAATGCAAAGCAGAATGCTGGTGCTGACAGGGGAGAGATCTGTATTGTTTACATACAGACCTCTTCCCTGGCAGTGTTCCTCCGCGATCGTTGGGTGCTGGCGGGGAATCTCCAGCTGGGACCTGGTGATCGTCAGCTGTAGCTGCCAATGGCGGTGCGGGTAGGGTGGTCTGCACGTGTGTGATTTTGCGCAGCCCTGCCACCCTGTAGCAGTAGTTCTGCTATAGGGCAGTCAGGAGGCAGTTAAGTATGTTTAAGAGTTTGCTAATTTACTGTGTATTTTAAAGTTGACTTTTCACCACTTTTATCCTTTGTTGCATGCCAGTGTTTCTGATCTTCTTCAGCTTTGTGCTTCATCAATAGCTTCTTGGCATTTTTCAAGGTGAGTTTCCTAATAGTGGTCTGTGCCTGCCTTAGCCCTCATGCACACTGGACGTTTTGATAATGCTGGTAACGTTAGCTGTGTAAGTCACGTTAAAAACATGAGTTTTTCAGCTTTTTTTTTTAGCATTTTTGCATTAGCATTTAGTGGTGTTTTGCCACAGTTAGCTTCGTTTTTCCGCGTTTGTATTCTTCATGGTCAAAAAAAGTCCATAAATGCTGGTTTGCTGCGCTTTACTGCGTTTTACCATGTTTTTCAGCATTTTTCACCATTAGAGAGTTTTTACAGCTAAAAAACTCTAGAAACCCACTAGTCCTGGGGTTTTTTTCAGCCACAAAACGTCCCAGCCAAAAAAACGTTGATTACAGTCTATGTGTGCATGGATAATATGCTGGGGGGTTTACTAGCTGTAGAAAAACCGTCAAAAGCCAAAAACAGCAGCTGTAAAAACGTCAAGTGTGCATGAGGACTAAAATGTGTCAATGTGTCTGGAAGCTAGAGTGTCAGGGTTACAATGCAGGAACACAACAGGGAAATCTGGACAGAGTGTTGTCATCTAAACAAGGCCTTTAGTGGCTGAATCATCAGGTATTATTTTATTGAAAGCTGCACAAATAAATAAAACAAAAAAAAATATTGAAAATGGCTTTTGAAATTACATTAAAATGGAACTAAAAAAAAATTGTGAACATGTAGGTTCTTTATTGTGGAAGAGACATGCAATGTCTCTTTTGCAATAAAATACACTTACCTGCCTGTTCGCAGTCCTCTTCAGAATGTACATGTCCCGTTTATATTTCTGCACAGTGCCAGTGTGCTGGGATGAATGACTCCCGCACATTATTATTATATTATTATTATACAGTATTTATAAAGCGCCATCAGCTCACTCAGCGCTGTACATTACAAAGGGGGACAGAACATGTGACAGGGCCCTGCTCTTTTGAGCTTACAATCTAGGAGGGAGGGGATAGTGGTACAGAAGGAGATAGCTGTGGGGGATGGAGTGGTAGGAAGAGTGGAGGAGGTCGGCAAGTTAGCAGGGGGTGGGGTAAGCTTCCCTGAAGAGGTGGGTTTTCAGGGTACACCTAAAGGAGAGGAGAGTAGGTGATAGTCTGATGGGTTGGGGCAGGGAGTTCCAGAGGATGGGTGACACCCTGGAGAAATCCTGGAGGCAGGCATGGGAGGAGGAGACCAGGGAACTAGAGAGAAGGAGGTCTTGTGAGGAGCGGAGTGTGCTTGTTGGGTGGTACTTGGATATTAGGTCGGTGATGTAATTTGGGGCAGCATGGTGGACAGCTTTGTATGTCAGTGTCAGGATTTTGAATTTGATCCGTTGCGCAATTGGAGGCCAGTGGAGGGATTGGCAGAGGGGGGGTGGCAGAAACGGAGCAGTTGGTAAGGTGAATGAGTTTGGCTGCCGTATTCCTGTGTCGAGGCAGGCCAGTGAGGCGGGAGTTGCAGTAATCGAGTCATGATATGATGAGGGAGTGGATGAGCTAGTGGTTTCTGGGGTTAGGAACGTGCGTATTTTGGTGATGTTGCGGAGGTGGAGTCTGCATGAGTTTGTTAATGATTGGACTTGGGGCTGGAAGGAAAGGTTGGAGTCCAGAATGACACCAAGTACTCTGGCCTGCAGGGTGGGCCTGATAGTGGCATTGTTGGACGTGATGGAGAAGTCAGTGGGGGGTGGTGTGCAGGCTGGGGGGAAGACTAGGAGCTCGGTTTTGGAGAGGTTTAGTTTAAGGAAGTGGAGCGACATCCAATCTGATATGTCGTTCAGTAGGCTTGTGATTCGGGCGGAGACTGAGGGGGTGAGGCGAGGGGTTGAGAGATAGATTTGTGTATCGTTGGCATAGAGGTGGTAGTTGAAACAGTGAGAGTGTATGAGTTGGCCAAGGGAGGAGGTGTAGATGGAGAAGAGAAGGGATCCGAGGACGGAGCCTTGAGGGACCCTAACAGAGAGGAGAGTGAGGGGGATGTGGTAGCGTTATAGGTAACGCTGAAAGAGCATTGTGATAGGTAGGATGAGAGCCAGGAGAGAGCGGAATCTCTGAGGCAGAGGGAGTGTAGTTTTTTGAGGAGGAGGGGGTGGTCAACTGTGTCAAAAGCATATGTTGTCATACTGCACCAGCCAATCAAGATGGCCAAAGTCTGCCACACGGAGAAGATTCCAGAGCCTGCAAGGGACCTCCCGGGTGTCCGAACCTTGGAGAATAGATGAGAATACCTGACATTAGTTTTGCTTCATTTGTTAAAGATGATATAAGAATTTAGTGATTGGGTTTACATAAGCACATTACAGGTGCACTGTCTGGACAGTCACTAAGAAGACCACATTGCAGCAGGAGTATTCAAAGATGTTTAAACCCAAAACAAAATGTAATATATTGCAGCTTACCAATCCTTATAAATGGTGGCCATATTAACCACTTTTTGCCACCGTATATAAACGGCTGGACGGTGGCAGTGCAGAGGCGGGTTGCTGTTCATAAACGGCGCCCACCATTTTGGACTGTGCATGCTCCCTGGGAGCACGCGGCACCACGATCCGGTGCCTGCTGTGTCGGGAGGACATAGTGGACACCGATCGCTGTACGGGACCTCTGTGTGAGGTCCCAATCATGTTATCACTGATTGGCCAATCAGTGATCACATGAATAAGTATAAGTAAGATGTCACTTCTGACATCATTGCTTACTACGTGTAAAATCTGTGAATGATCACAGAGGTCACATGGTACAAGGCTATTCACAACAGCCTTGTTCCATGTGACAAGCTGTGACCAATCACAGCTCACACAGTATTTCTCAATGGCTGCAAGAATGCAGCCAGAGACAAGGAGAAATGATTGCTCTTACAGCCTTTATGGGTGTAAATGCAATCAGTGTAAAAAAAAAAAAAATCTTCACCCCCCACAAGTAGTACAGTGTCACTATGGTGACACTACTGCTGGGGTGATAGTATGTAAAAAAAACATAAATAATAATATAAAAAACTAAATAAAAATGTTAAAATAGTTTTTCTTAAAATTATAATTTTTGGTTATAAACGAATTTGGGTTATTTATTTGCTAAATTTTATAAGAAAAAACGCTTTTTTAAAAAAATTTTTGGACTTTTTTTATTTATATAGCAAAAAAAATCCCATTGGTGAATAAATACCACCAAAATAAAGTTTTATCTGTTTATCTGTCTCTAAAAAATTCATATGGGTACAGTGTTGCATGACCGCACAATTGTCATTCAAAGTGTGACAGTGCTGAAAGCTGAAAATTGTCCTGGACAGGAAGGGGGTAAAAGTGTCCGGACTGGAAGTGGTTAATTTCTTTTTTAAGGCTATTTTTAATTTTAACCTGTTGATCTGGCCAGTAAGTCTGTAAGTTTTCAACTTCCTTTAACAGATCAAAGCTATCCAGCAAAAGATGCAGTAAGAAAATAAAGACAAGCCATTTACCACTGACAGGGGTGCTTAGAATGGTCAGCTTTTTGTTAAAAACATGCAAGTACATATGCGCCAACTGTGTTTTTCATCATTTTTCAGGAGGAATGAAGCATTGCTTCAATGAGCTATAAGGGTATTGACAAATTTGTCTGTAATATCTACATCTGTATAAATTAAAATATACCTGACTTGCACAAGAAAGATGTATAGCTATTTCAGAAATTGCTTTGATTTCTAGCACATACTGGAACACGGTTTAATGTTTTAAAGACTGTAAAACACAGATCTATGACAATATTCCTAAAATGTATTTTACAATATAAGTTGATATATACTGTATATATTATGAAAAATCATTGAAAGCATCACTCATTGTGCGGCCTCTTTCACGCAGGCACTGGGGCCCCTCATATCCTGAATGGGGCATTTTGCAGGCAGCCCAGTCAAGTCTACAGGATGCAGTGGCTGCACAGACACAACCACCCATCCTACTGTGACATGCCTGGGAGCAGGGGCGGACTGACAACTCATGGGGCCCCTGGGCAATAGGGGATCATGGGGCCCGTGTCCTTGCCCAAACTCAAAAAAGCCTATGAAAAAGGTACCAGAGGCATCTCATGGGGCCCCCTACTGACCCCGGGCCCTCGGGCAGTGCCTGAGTTTCCAAATGGCCTGGGAGTGAGACCCGAACACACATCGTCTGAGTTTATGGCATATGGGATTCAGCGCCCATGTGAACGAGGCCGAAAACTCTTTCTTCATTCTTTTCTTTACTGTTGTGAGGTGGTATGAAACTGTGCAAAAGGGAAAAGTATGTATTGCAGACAGCTACCATAGTAACTTTGTAGTGAGCTTCAAGTTGTAACAGAAAATAATATTTAATAAAATAAAATTACTTTTTGCATTTCTGATAGAAGACAAACAGGTGCCTCTGTTGTTGGAAGGTGTTACTGTACTTCAAACTAATTAAACGCAGGGCTTTTTATTTCTATTTAGCCACCTCACCATAATCTGTATGGTAATATTTTCTAATAGAAAACAATAAAGGTGTTTTGGCTGATATAAATCTCTCTTACAAAATTACTTGGGTGGCATGTAAAGTCACTCTATCAACCCTGTGGACAGTCCAATTGCTGTGTGAACCTAGTGCAAGCTAATATGGAAAAAATGCAAGTTTTATATAAAAAAAATGTAACTACTACTACACACATCCAATGTATAAGCAGATATTATTGCAAACAGCCCAAAAAACAATCCTGGTGGAACTGTGCACATTTACCCAGATAGCTGACACTGACACCAATAGTGACACTAATACAGTGATTAGTGCGAATACTGTACACTGTCACTGTACTGGTGACACTGGCTGGGAAGAGGTTAACATTAAGGGGCAATCAAGGGGTTACCTGTGTGCCTAACAAGTGTAATATTTGCTGCTTTTACAAATACGGCCACATTACTGCTCTGTGTACAGAGCCCTGTGTTGTTAGTAAACACAGGGCTCTGTACAGTGATTTGCCAAGCCGATCAGCAGGTCCTGGCCATAAATCATTGGCTGGGACCTGCTGACCAACTTGTGCTGTAATGAATCAAAGCACAGATCGGGTGGGGGGCACACACATGCTCCCTATACCTGGAAATGCTGGCTCACGGACATGTACATGATCTAGTGCAGCAGGGCTGTCTGCCCGCAGTAAAAAGATAGTGGGTGGTCCTTAAGTGGTTAATCCCATCTTTTAAGGGACTGCGTCAAAGGGCTTTTGTTCACTTCAGAACTACTTTTCTCTCCAAACAAGTCTATAAGAATAAGCAAGTAGTTGAAAATGGTCAAATGGAGGTCAGAAGGTGGTTAGCTGCAGTCCCCTTAAGTGTCTCTTCTTTGGAGCATACAAATGTAGTCTATGTGATCATTTCTCATAACACCCTCCACTCCCATATTCATTTCCATGCCCTTCCCAAGACTCTCTAGGACATCTTGTCTGTGGATTGGTGACCAAAACTGAAGTGCATATTTAAGATTCAGCTGAGTAATTGTTTAGAAAGGGGTGGGACGACAGAATTAGGGATTTACAGTATCTCTTGATTACATGGCATGCCTTTTTAATACAAAAGAGTATTCTGCTTGCTTTGTTAGCTGCAGATTGGCATTGCATTCTGTTGTTAGGTCTGTGATCTGTAAGGACCTCCAAATCCTTTTCCATCACAGAGGAGCCCCTCCCAAAGAGTATGTTGCATGCATATTTTTTAGTGCCCAACTGCAAAAATGTTACACTTTCCAATACAGAACCTCAGCTGCCATGCCTTTTCCCCATTTGATCTAGGTCTTCCTGTAACAATGATACATCTTGTTCCAAATTTACTTCCCTGCATAATTTGGTATCTGCAGCAAAAACTGAAATAAAACTCTTAATTACAAACTCAGTATCATTAATAAGCAGGTTAAACAGCCCCAAGACAGTGCCTTGAGACACACCAAAAGCTTAGTCCATATAGTGATTAAAAGATAAGTTCACCTTTCATAACATGTTACATGTTACACCCATATTCGAGGTAACATGTAACGGGTTATGAACAGACTGGCCCCTACTTCCCAGCTTTGAGAGCTAGCTGGGGATCTTCCCCACTCGGCTATATCACTCATTCCTAGTCCTCTGTGAATGTGAAACTACAAGTCCCGACAGCCTTAGTGGCTGTCGGCTTCTAATTCTCAATGAACTGTCATGGTGCTGTGGAGCACCATGGTAGTTTATAGATTCTTCCTGCCAGATAAACTGACAGGTCTGCAGGAGACCTGCATGGCACCAGCGATCTGCTGATCATTGGAACAATGGTTTACAGGCTCCTGCAACAATAAATATTAACTGCCTCCGCACTGCCCTATAGCAGAAATACTGAAACAGGACGGCACAGGTGTGGAAAATCACGTATATATATATATATGTGATTTTTCTGTTCCGGGTAGGGGGCGCGTGCGCCACCATTTGCGGCCTCTGCTGTCAACAACCAGGTCCCACCTGGTGATCGCCAAGTATCTCCGATGGGGGAGAGACCTGTGTATAAACAACACAGATCTCTCCCCTGTCAGCTACTGCATACTACTTTGTGTGGCTCTGCATAGCTCTGAGTTAAAAATATAGTTTTTTTTAATAGCAAAAAGTTAAAAATATAGTTTTTTTTCTCAAAATTGTCGGTCTTTTTTTGTTTATAGCGCAATATAATAAAAAACACACAGGCGATCAAATGCTACCAAAAAAAGCTCTATTTGTGGGGAAAAAAGGAAGTAAATTGAATTTGGGTGCAGCGTTGCATGACTGCACAATTGTCAGTTAAAGTAACACATCACCGTAACGCAAAAAATGGCCTGGTCAGGAAGGGGGTAAATCCTCTGGAGGGCAAGAGGTTAAATGTACATGTTTTTACCTGCAAAAAAATGTGTATTTATTATTGTTTAGCAAAAGGTGAACTTATTCATAAAGCCATTTATCACTACTCTGAGGACACTTTCTTGTAACTAGTTTTCTATCCATGTGCTCACAATTTTTTCTACACCAAATGTTTGGAGGTACAGTTTTGAATGCCTTAGCAAAATCCAGATATACTACACCCACTGCCATTCCTTATATAAATTCCTACTCACTTTCTCAAAACAGATAACGGGTTGGTCTGACAAGAACGGTTGTTCATAAATTCATGCTAATTGTTACTTATGACAGGTTCATATCTTGAATATAGATGTCCGTTTATGAACCAGCGGTAAATGATCGCTGCTCAGTTCTCCAGCATTCTCGGAAAACAAGGTACTCCTGTGAATGCCTTTTATGAAGCAGTTCTCCGAACGAAGGGAGAACGGTCTACAAACGCTGGAAAACGGCTGATTATACTATAATCTCGCGGGATTACAGTAAAAGATCAGTTTACTAAGCAGAGGTAAATTATCGCTCCTTAGTTTGCGGTCCCTCCGATTCTCCAGCTCTGGGCTGGAGAATCTGGAGGGATAACACAGATCTCCAGTGAAGGGCTGAACATGTTCTCCTCTGATCTCCTGAGTGTCATAAACTGTGAATGACCAGAGAATAGCTGCGATCCTCTGAATCACAGCTATTCTCTGTGTCATAAACGGACACCATAGTCCTTTGCCAGGCCCTCAAATATTTCACATATTATTGATGTTAAGCTGACCTGTCTGTAATTTCCTGGCATACATCTGATTCCTTTTTGAATATTGGTACCAGGTTTACTTTGCATCAGTCAGTTGGTACCATTCCAGTCAGTCAGGTGTCCTTATAAATTAGAGATAATGAACTGGTTATAACAGAGCTAAGCTCTCTAAGGACTTTCAGGTGTAAGCCATCTGGTCCTGGT